CTCTCCACTATTCATCCCCCTTCTCTCTCTTCCCCCCCACTCCCCAGCCTCTCACCCACTGACTCCTCAAATCTACATTTTCAATGACTACCTGTCTTGTATGCATACCAGCCCAGCCTCTGGCTTCTTTACTTTTCATTCCATCCAGGAAAAGCGCCCACCAACTGCTGAAACTTCCTCGGCCTGACAAAGGGTTTTTAAACCCGAAAGCTTGCTTAAAAATTGTTTTCCAACTATTTAAGTTGGTCTAATAAAAGATATCAGATTCACCCAAAGAACCTTGTCTGCCTATATCCTTAGACCAACACAGCTACAACCTACACCCCTGTAATAAATATGGTACTCTCTCTTTAAATTGTCCTGCATCATTAAGACTTTCTCAATAGCCACAATGAAGAGCAATATTGTCCAGTGTTATTTCCCAGGTTTACTGAAGGGGGTCACTAAAGAAATAAGGCATTCTCTCTGGTCTCTATCCCTATAAAGAGTATACATGACCTGCGCTCTGATCTCCTCCGACATATTGCACTGCTCCTAAATTATCAGGCCAGCGTTACTCATTTTCTATCAAAAAAGATTCAGTAAGAAAAAAATTCAGTAAGAAGTGAGCTTTTCTTAAGAGAGACCATTTAATCAGTTTTAGTAATGAGCTCATCACAAGAACAATGAAGACAAAAAATCTGATAATATAAAATTCTCTTACTTTCCAAATTTCAAGGTATTTGATTTCCCTTATTTATATTTGATAATAAGCCCTTTGTCTCTTACAAAGATGAAAATGTTTTATTTTAAGCAAGCGGTCATTTTCCTCAGTCTGTTTTTATTGCAATTGCTTTCTTTTTGCAACTCTAGATCCATGCATTTACCATTGGTTCATTATACCAGAAACTGTTTAATCCTAACTACTACCTTCAATTCTGTGGCCTAAATCTTACAGCCAAAGTTTTTCTCCTGGACACACATACTGGTGCGAAGAAACATGGAAGTAACTGATTATTACTGGGTGCATTTACAGGTTCAATTAATGTGCCTGAATTTTCTGTGCAGAAAATTGAGGAGCATTAAATTGCACCTTGGCATGTATCTGAACGTGTGCCTGTTGGGAGCAAGTCTGCTCCCAATGAGAGCAGTTCAGTCCAGGTCTGCTTCTGCCCTGTTCTGTCCCCCTGCAGAAGCCAGGGAGAACTCCAGGCTGCCCCAGGTGCCAGCCCCTGGCTAGCAGGGGACATGGGGGCTGGTCCCAATCTCCACAGGGTGGAGGAAGCTGTCCCAGCTCTGGGGATAGCTGCCTCCCAACCCTGGTCCCAAAGCCAGGACAACTCCCCCACCCTGTAAAAACTGGGACTTAGCCAGGCAGCAGCTGTGACCCTGTGCTGCCTGGGCTGACCGGGAGCAATCTGTTTCCAGCCAGAGTCTACACACGTGCTTTGGTGCATTAACATGCCTTTTTTCTAGTACCGATTTCCCTTGCTTTGTGCAGATTCTGTATGTGTGAATTCACTCTTATGAGATGACCCTTCTTATACCAAGAATTCGTTATATGTACGGTAAATTCACTCTTATGCGATCAGTGTGGCAGAAGCCCATAGTCAGATGCTTTGTGTGGTGCATTGTGGCAGTGATACGCAGCAACATATAACCTCCTGTGTGGATCTGTGCTCCTCATTCACCTGCAACGGTTCTGTAGTTGCCATCCCCATTATGATAGTGCCCTGTGCTTGTGTGTACTGTCTGGTATTGGCGAGTACCAAAATTGTCTCATAAAAATGGTAGAAATGGGTCTGGTGGTCAGTATAGTCGAGGTCTTCGAACATATCCCTATTTGTTGCATTGTAAAGTAGGTTCCCTTTATGGGAATCCGAGTTATGTGCTGTTTTCCAGGAATGAACGTACAGCAAAGTGAGGGAAACCTGTACTTGTATTGGTACTAGCAAACAGCACATTAGGCTAATTTAACACACAGTTATTGCTGCACACGTGTAGACGATGATGCTTTACCATGCATTATATTAGTCTAATGTGCAGTAAAGTGTGTCATGTAGATATACCCACTGTGCGTTACACAAAGAACAGCACCCAGACCTAGACCCACCAGATTTAATTTACCTGGACAACAAATCTTCTTGAAGTTATGTTGGATCCACTAAAGAAACTGATTTATGTTATATTTAAATTATTTTATCATTTACTAGACATCTGCCATAGACTCAACCCTTCTAAACCTTTGAAGTTAATGGCTAAAATCCCATTAGCATCAAGAGCCTAATAATGGGCTTTCAGCAGCCTGAAAACACAGCTTTTTTTAGCAGGAGACAGTAATTTGCTATAAGACGTTCTCCTTCCCTCAAACAAAGCGTAAACTCATTTTCTACTTACTGATTGGCATGCAGTAGTCTTTGCCCGATACCCTCGCTATAGAAATATTTGTTGATTCACCTCGCCCCTAACACACTATATAATCTACAATATATTATTAGGAGTAACTTCCATTACCAGCCAGGTAATATTATTTCCAGCAACCTCACACTGTTTCTGATCTTATCTTTAAGGTATGTAGTAAACATCAATTATTACTAAATGACCTGGGAGCACCTGATAAATAACTGGTGCTGTCAATCATGGCCTACATGATAACTTCTGCTGATTCTTTTATTTGATGGGAGGACTGATTTAGATGCATCAAGGAGAGTGAAATTGTTGCCTGTCACAGATATTGCTGCTAATGCCAGTTCCAAATCATGAGGATAAAATAAAAGGAAATACAAGGAAATTTGGAAAAATGTAAAGAAACAAAAAGTTGTGTTTGAATGAAACTATTACTCAGTCACATACATTCCTAGAACTACTTGTCCATAAACAGCATTTAGGGTGAATGAATAGGAAACCACCCATAATATAAGTCTATGCTGAATAGTAGTGTTAAAGAAACAATCATATCAAAGAGTACAGGGAACTTACTCCAGCCCATGATAATGGCATCCTGCTGCTTTTTCAAAAGGCAGGCCTCTCAGCTTCCGTGGAGAGAGCTCTGGTGTCAGAAGAAAAGCATTGTCACTAGGAGGGAAAAAATATATATATTTTAAACAACAGCATTTGTGATGGATTAGCTTTCTAGTGATCGGAACAAACTGCTCCATAAGGAACATGGTTCTTGGATTATGTGTAAGAGGTAAATACATAATTCAGTTGAGGTCCAATTTAAGCAAAGCTAAATCACGTGCAACTACCAACAATGGTAGTATCAGAGAAGCCTCAAGAGACCTCAGTTGACTTGGAAGTCATTCTGTGCGGCACTATAAAATCAGGGGTCGGCAATTATTTTGGCAGGGGGGAGAGTTTCCGCGAGCTGTTGAGGGCCGCACACAAATTCTTTCAGAAGATATCGTTTTAACAAATTATAGATTAAAAAAAAAAATCAAATCATATACTAAAAAAATCAAACATATACATATACACATTTACATTGGGGCTGTGCGAAACTTCAGTCGCCGATTCAATTCTGCGGAGATTCGGCCCAGTTGGGTGGCCAAATCTCTGAATCCAAAACGAATCAGAAGACCCTTTAATCTCTCTGAATTGAATCTGAACCCTCCGGATCGATTCAGAGAGATTCAATGATTCAGACATGGACATACCTTTAAATGTTTTTTCTACAAAGCTGTAGTCAGGTGGCTCCACTTCCAGCTCCTGACCAGCTTCCACCCACTCCACTTACCTGGAGCAGTAAGCAGCCACCTTCAAGCAGACTAGTGGATGAAAGGGGGCCCAGAAGCTAGAGATTGGAGCCCCACATGCTGGGGCAGGAGCCACCCAGGTGCAGCTTCCCACCTATCTGGCTGGGCATCTCTCCTCTCAGAAAGTACAGCAACGTACTGCTCCTGCCCTCACTCTCTCCCATTGTCTACACATTCTTTGAAAAGTACATGACAATTAAGAACCGTCTCCAAGGGAGGCATGGGTTTAAAGAAGGCTTGTTGATATCCAAAAGAACTTTGGCAGAGAAACAGACTAAAGAAATGCTCTGGGCTGGCCTGTGAGCCTAGTCCAGACCACCATGGAATAGCCACACCATAATAAATTTCCAAAGACAGAGAGAGGGGACTAGATAAAGAAGCATCAGCAGCAGACGTCTGCTGGATTTTACACTCCCCTCAATGGACATGCTCTTTCTACCTTTGCTTTCTCGACCCAATGGCATTAGGATAATTTGGGGAAGCACCATGTCACAACCCAAACGGTGCGATTTTTGTTGTGTGCGCTTCGGCACTGCCAAATTGCAGCTTCTTTGGATGGTGGAGTTTTCTGCTGCAAAAGAGAACCCCGGTGCAAGGGAGAATTTCCCGCCAATTTGAAGCTTTCTTTGCAGGGTGCATTTCTTTGTTGCAGCACAGAAATGCT